CTACCAACTCCTGGTCCTCCTGACAGAAGCTCTTGTCGAGGCTTCGCCCCTGAATACTTTTAGATAAATGATTTTCTTTGTATTGCACGTTGCATTTTCCTACTTAAAATTTTTTACTGGTTCTGTGATGTTTTTAGCGATGTTGCTGTTGTCCGGTTGCTTGTTTTTTGTGTTTTCAGTATTTTGCCGATTGATTGTTTCATTCACGCCATCATTCACCGCTCCTGAACAAGTTTGAATACTTTTATCTAATGCTGTTCCATTACTGTAGCATATCACTGTCTTAGCTGCCATTCGTCTTGTGGCTTTTCTGACTGAAATTGCGTTATCTGGTGGTCAGTTTGTTATTTTTGTTTTTGTCTTTCGCTTCCCTGCACTTTTTCCTCATTTGTCCGAAGAGAAGTGCTAAATGTGTAACGATTTTTCCGGAATTTTTGTGGTGCTTCATCACATCCAGTAATCCTGCTGCACTGTTTACATAGACTGTTAACTGCAGGTATGCTGGCAGTTTAGTCAGTTAGGATTACCAAGTGCAAATGTGCTAGGAAATCCCTATTGAGAAGTTGTAATAAAATATTGTGTTATTTCTTGTATTTACCACTTTTTAATGTTTTTTATTGTTGCGACTTTTACTCCGTTTGAGTTTATTCTCAGGTAAAAGAAGGGGTATAAAAACTTTTTTAAAAATTTTCCTGGTGCTTTTGAACAGTTTCTTCCTTGCAGTAATTTTTACTTGCATATTTAAAAAAATTCTTTTTTCCAAATTTCTAGGGGAAAAAGTGGAAAACAGCATATAAGCATCTGGTCTCGGAGAAGTCAGTAATCCTCTGGGATTGAGTGTGACTGATGGCTTGCTCGAGGATGGTTGAAGTAGGCTAACTGAAAAGCCATTTTTGGAAATTCTCATTTATTTCTAGGAAGGGAAGTGCTTCTGCTAATTGAAAGAGGGGAAGGGGAATATTAGAAATTTTCGAGCTTTTTTTCCCTTAATTTCTTTTTGCAGGGTTCGTAATGTATAACTAATTTCGCTAATGGAACATGAAGAAAATAAAACGAAGAGAAAGGGCATACCGAAAATTGTTCC